ACAGGCTCTAACTTTCTCCACAGGAGCATCTTGACAAAACTTGATCCTCTCTGCGGACTGTCCCTCCCCAGAGGACCTGACAGTCCCTGTAGGATCCAGCCCTTAAGACAGGACGTGGACAGAATGTTCTAATAACCCATCTTCATTATCCTAGTGCCCCCTTGTTCCCAAGTCTTTGTGCTTTGGCTTCGGTCTGTTCTACCAACTAATGTCTCATGCAGACTACACATTTTGTTTTGTTTTGTTTTTAGGGCTGGAGCGATAGCACAGCGGTAGGGCGTTTGCCTTGCACGCAGCCAACATGGCCGACCCGAGTTCGATTCCTCTACCCCTCTCAGAGAGCCCGGTAAGCTACCGAGAGTATTCGATATGCCAGACACAGTAACAACAAAGTCTCCAATGGAGACGTTACTGGGCCCGCTCGAGCAAATCGATGAACAACGGGAGGGTCTTTACCTTTACCTTACCTTGTTTTTAGGTCATACCCAGAAGTGCTCAGGGCTCGCTTCTGTCTCTGTGCTCAGGGATCACTCCTTGTGGGTTCAGGAGACCATATGGAGTGTCCGGGACTAAACTCTGATCTGCCATGCGCAAGGCAAACTCTCTACCTGCTGTACTATGGCTCTGACCCTGCAGATGGGACACAGGAGGACTGAATTTTTCATTGGACAAGAGCCTTGTTAATGTTATGAACAGATCCAAAGTCAGGAACGCTACTCTTGGGGAAGGGCTCCTGGATCCTGGGTTCCCCTTTGTACCCCTGCTCCCATGATCTCATTGATAGCACCAGGCATAAGTGACTTTTCCTCCCTCAAATGAGGGTTTGACCTTCTAACCCTGGGTCTCCTCGGGGAGCTGCTGGACTTTGTGGAAGGGGTGCTTAATCGTGTTTCCCTTCTCATTAAGGAGGAGGAGTTTAAGCTCCTTTTTAACACCACGGCTACCAGCTTCATCTTAAAATTAGCAAGCAGAGGGAGGGGGAGCTGAGAATTTATGTACATCTGGTTTTTCTTTGATTCTCACAAAAGTCTGCAAAACAGACATTATCACCCCAATCTGACAAGTAAAGAAACAGAGCTCTGAGGAGTTTGCCCCCTGGAAATTGAGTCAACTGCGTTTCAATTCGATTCCTTCTGACTCCAAAGTTCAAGCTCTGTCACCCAGTGAAGGGCTCCGTTTACTGATCACTTGTGTCCCCAGCCCGATTCAGGGTGTGATGTCAATGACTTTCACAGGGCAGTAACTAGAATGGGCACTTTATGATGGGAGGTGATGCCCAAAGCTTAGTCATTTCCCTGAGATCGCCTGGAGCCAGTGGGAGTGAAATCCAGGGACAAACTCTGAGCTCTGGTGTCACCACGACCTTTCACAGCAGAGAGCAGCAATTAGGGCCCCGATGAGCAGGTAACCCACACACTGTCCCCCACCCACATGGGCAGACACAGAAACCCTGTCCTGGACCACTCTGATAAAAACCAAGTTGCATAAGAACAGTAAACCTCATGTGAATTTTAGGTTTCTAACAATTTGGGTTCTTTCAAATGAAAATCTATGCATACATTTTTAAAATAATTTTTTTAAGGGCTGGAGTGATAATACAGTGGGTAGGGCGTTTGCCTTGCACGTGGCCAACCCGGGTTCGATTCCTCCGTCCCTCTTGGAGAGCCTGGCAAGCTACCAAGAGTATCCTCCCACATAGCAGAGCCTATCAAGCTCCCTGTTCTGTATTTGATATGCCAAAAACAGTAACAACAAGTCTCACAATGGACACGTTACTGGTGCCCGCTCGAGCAAATCGATGAACAATGGGAGGACAGTGCTACAGTGCTACGGTGTTTTCTTTTTTAAATGTGGGGTGTTGGGCCATACCTGGTACTCTTGAGGAGTCACTTCTGGCTCTGCACTCAGGAATTACTTCTGGAAGTGCTCAGGGAACTGTATGGGGAGCCGGGGATTGAACCCGAGTCAGCTGCGTTAACCAAGTGCCCTACCTGCTGTACTATCTCTTCGTCCACTATCTATGCATACTTAGGCGTGAGAGATGGCTGCTGAAGGAGATATATTGATTATGGTAAATGTTTGGGTTAAAGGAATTTTTACAGTAACATCTGCCAGGTTCCATTAGCTGTCCACTGTAGAGCACACGTATATGGGAGACCCTGCCCTAAGTAGGTGAATGGGGTCAGCTTGCCAAGCCCCTGTCATGTAACTGAAGGGACAGACAAATGAATGATGATGGGCAGCGGACTTTTTGTCTTGCTTCTACTCCTAGACACGGCTGGGCTCTGAATCCTTAGTGTAAAATGAATTAGAATCACTGACATACACTCGCTGCCCGTCCTCTACCAATCCTCTTTCTCTTTCCTTGTGTTCATTTCTCCATTGCTCAAGGCAATATACATGAGGAGTTTGTTTGAGCAACTACTTCGTGCCAACACAAGTACAAGCAGTTAGCTCTAGAGGACGCAGTCTAGAGACTGGCAGACAAGGATTTGCTTTATTAGCCTCTTGTCCAGAGCCACGTTCAGAAGTGACAGAAACAGTATCTAAAATGTAGGTGGGCCTGACTCAAGGCCTCTACGGAGAGACTCATTTCCCCCCGCACACACACATATTTCTCCCGTCTCTAGAACAGACTTCTTAGGGCAAGTCAGAGCTGCTGGGGCAACCGTTTCGAATCTCCCTCTGCAGCTCACATGGTTAACCCCAGCGCAGGCTGGAGGGAGTGAGCAGAGATGTGTAATGTGTTGGGATTGGGTTCCTCAAGAAGACCCAAACCCAATGGCCTCCTCAGGGTCACTCCAGAAAGGCCAAGCAAGGCACAGCCCCTATGGGTGCTCCTACTTCCAGGTGGTCAGGACCAAAGCAAAATATGGAGTCACACAGCACGATAATCCACATGGAGTCACACAATGGAATAATCCACAAAGCATCACATAGTGCAATACTCCACACAGAGTCATAAAACAGAATAATCCACAGGGGTCACACAGCGGAACAATCCATAAAGAGTCACAGAACGCAATATCCACACGGAGTCTGCAAATGGAATAATCCACTCAGGAGTCACATAACAAAATAATCCACACATTGGGGCTGGAGCGATAGCACAGCGGGTAGGGCATTTGCCTTGCATGCGGCAACCTGGGTTCGATTCTCAGCATCCCATATGGTCTTCTGAGCACCGCCAGGAGTAATTCCTGAGTTAAGAGCCAGGAGTAGCCCCTGTGCATCTCTGGGTGTGACCCAAGAAGCAAAATCATCATCATCATCCACACAGAGTCATAAAAAGCAAAAATCCACACAGGGTCACACAACAGAGTAATCCACAAAGAATCACATGCAATAATCCACATGAAATGGCACAATGAAATAATGTGCGAGGAGTTACACAACCAAATACTCCACAGTCACACAACAGAATAATCCATACAGGGTCACACAATCAACAATTCACAAAGAATCACATGCAATAATCCACATGGAATGGCCCAATGAAATAATGTGCGAGGAGTTACACAACCAAATACTCCACAGTCACACAACAGAATAATCCATACAGGGTCACACAGTCAACAATCCACAAAGAATCACATGCAATAATCCACATGAAATGGCACAATGAAATAATGTGCGAGGAGTTACACAACCAAATACTCCACAGTCACACAACAGAATAATCCATACAGGGTCACACAGTCAACAATCCACAAAGAATCACATGCAATAATCCACATGAAATGGCACAATGAAATAATGTGCGAGGAGTTACACAACCAAATACTCCACAGTCACACAATAGAATAATCCATACAGGGTCACACAATCAACAATTCACAAAGAATCACAACGCAATAATCCACATGGAATGGCACAATGAAATAATGTGCGTGGCGTTACACAACCAAATACTCCACAGACACACAACAGAATAATCATCACAGGGTCACATAATCAAACGATTAATGAAGAATCTCAATACAATAATCCACCTGGAGTAGCACAATGAAATAATGCATGCAGTCATACAACTGAACAATCCACACAGAGTAACATGCCGGAATGAAAGTGCCGGGAGACCCCAGGCAGTTCCCAGATTCCCCTGTGACCCCTACCCTCCCACATTCTCTGAGGGAAGTGGCGGGGACCCCTGGCTTCAACACTAATTGATCGACAGCTCCCTGATTTGAGTTCCAGCCCTAAACTCCAGGCTCTTGTTTGCTCTAAACTGCAGTGCCTCCAGGCTCCCTGATGTGGGGAGCCCTTCCTGCACCCAGGATACTCGCCTGCGCCCCATCGCAGGCCCCCGACCTCGGGGACCCCAGGATCTGAGCGAGGGATGCCGCTCTCCGGTGACTCAACCCAATCACCCCCAGGTCTTTCTGACGCCCCACTGCGGGGCCTCCTCCCTGCATAGCTGTGCCCACACCCCAGATGCCCTCTGCCTGCCTGGCCTGGCCAGTGGCTTTCCATCTGCATGTCTCAGCTGCAGCCATCACACAGAGCCCCTGGGCCACTGCCTGGCCTGCCTGAGTTTGTCCCCCACAGAGCCGAGTGAGCTGCATGGTGTTCAGCCCTGTGATTCCGGCAGATTCCAGGAGGCCGTGGTGAAGAGGCCCCCTCCTCAGATGGCCCGAGGGAAAGGAGAAGAACACGGGCTCCTGGGGTCCACAGAGGCAGCACCCCTGGCCTGACTGCCTCCGGCCATCAGCTTGGAGGGTGGCAGGGAGACTGGAGGATCAGCTGATCCAATCCCCACGGATCCCACTGAGATTCCCTCCCCACTTGATCTCTCACATTCTCCATCGATCACCCCACGGAAATAACAAAATGGGCTCAGGGAATCCAAAGGCCCAAGAGGGCAGTTTCCTGTGGTTCTGCCTTCCCTGACACGGCACCCAAAGCTCTTGGCAGCCCCCACCTTGGCCTCCACCCCCCCAACCCCCAACCCCCCGCCCCGCCAATGTAGCTCCGTCGTGGGGGGCCCTGGATGAACTCACCCTCCGTCGAAGGGGTTCTCCTCAGGGGTGACGTGCGTGCTGTCCCTGCCCACCAGGAACCTGATGCGGTTGTAGAAGGGATACAGGCTCTGCTGCGACGCGGGGGCCTGGCTCTCCTGGATGATGTCCAGCGGGTCGGGGGAACCGAGGCACAGTGGACTGGTGTGGCAGAGGGGCTGCAGGCAGCAGTCTGGGTCCAAGCAGTCCGTCAAGCCATCTGCAAGGGCGACAGAGCGTGGGCTGACACCACAAGGGGGCAGGAGTGCACCCCAGGACATGATCCCCTCTCCCTCGGCACTCACGCAGAAAGGGGGTGACATGCCTGATGTGACCAGAGCTTCTGCCCTCGCACCAGGCGGTCAGCCCTGGTCCCAGGCCTGGAGCAGCAGACAGACCACACGTGCCCAGGGTGACAGGTGCGGTCTGTCCTGCAGAGACTGGAGGGTGGCGTCTGTCCACTTGCTGCTGAGGAAAGCACAGACGCCACTGACCCACAGGTACCGGCTGAGGTCTGGCCTTGGGGACACTTATGTCAGCGAGGGTCTGGTTGGGAGCGGTAGAACAGAGCCTCAATGAGGAAGCCCAGAGGGAAGTTGGGGGCTCTGTGGGAATGTCATGTTGGGGGTCGCCGAGACTGCAGAGGGGCATAAGGGTGGCCCAGACTGGAGGGGTTACGGCAGATGCAGAGACCCCAGAGGCTCTGTGGATTGGATATCTGTCCTGGGGAAGGAGGGACCAGGGTGGGGAAGAGGCCTGCTGGTGGGGGGCTGCTCCCCCTCAGTCGCCTGGTGAGCCTCTGGGGACCCGTCCGGCATGGAGCCAAGGAGGGCAGCTCAGATGCGTAGGGAACGGTCCTCACCACAAGAACAAATTACAAGTGGATTGAAAATGGGCTTTTACTCAATGCCTCTTTTGCAGACCACAACACCCAAAAGGAGAGAGAGAACACAGGGGATTGCCCTGCCACAGAGACAGGGGGGATGGGGGGATGGGGGTGGGAGGGATATTATCCATGGTGGTGGAAAATGGGCACTGGTGGAGGGATGGGTATCTGATCATTGTATAATTGAAACCAAAGCACAAAAAATTGTAAATCTACAACTTTAAAAAAAAATAAAATACAATAAAGGGAAAAAAAAAAAAGAAAATGGGCTTTCCCAGGGGCCAAAGCAATAGCACAGCATGGAGGGCGCTTGCCTTGCATGCGGCCGACCTGGGTTCAATCCCACCATCCTGTATGGTCCCCTGAATACCTTCAGGAGTAATTCTCAGTGCAGAACTCCTGAGCACCACCAGGTGTGGCCCCAAACAAAGAAATCCTTTCCTTAAAGGGCTACGAAAGAAATTCCACCAGACTGCAGGGTTCAGGTTGGGTTATTCCACTTGGGACACAGAGAGGTCAGGGAGGAAAGGTGGGTTGTATGCATGCCGCAGGCAGGCTGGCAGGCACTGAGCAACACTGTGGGGGCTCAGGCCCGCCCTCGCTCAGCAGCTACACGGCCAGAAACCAGAGCCTCCCCACTACTCTGGGGGCCCGACCTTGTTCCAAGTACCCATGCTGGGTTCTCATCATGGCGCATACATGTTTAAATAAGACTTAGATACACGAATACAAATAGAATGGATTTTGGTTTTTTTTTGGGGGGGGGAGTCATATCTGGTAGTTCTAAGGGGCTCTTCTCAGCTTTAGGCTCGGGGGGAGGGGACATGGTGGCCTGGATCAAGCCTGGGTCTTCTGCAAGCAAGGCCTGTACATTAGACTCTAAGCTGCCTCCAGGCCCAGGATGGCTGTTCTGTTACTGGCCTCACATGGAGGTGCTCATGGCTTACTCTTGGCTTCAGGAAATCACCCCTGGCAGGAATAGAGGGACCAGAGGTCAAATCGAAGTCATCTGCACACAAGGCAAGCACAATCTCTCCAGTCCTCGGAATGGGTTTTCATCAAAAGAAGCAGAATTTGTTGAAACCAAATGCCAGTTCAGAAAAGCCTGAAAACTAGGATCATGTTCTGTGCAGGTGAACAGGTTTGGGGATGGGGGAAGGCTCGTGGCTCAGAATCCAGATCCAGATCGGCCCCACAAGCAGGCCTGCTGGGGTTCCTCAGTGAACCTTTCCGAGCACCCAGATCCTCATCCCTGACCTTCCTCCCCCACGCTGTCCCCAGAGAATGACACAGCCAGTACCTTACACCACACGCCAGCCTGGGCACCCAGGCAGTTGCCCCCAGCAGCCGCAAGGCTTCTGGCCAGTACCTGACCTCCCTGAATCCCAGTGGTTCCCTGAATAAATCAGGGATAGGTCCCATTCTTCAAAAGGCACCAGCGTGTGTCACTTCCTGGTAGGTGAAGGGTGGCAGTGTGTGGGTCTGGACTCAGGCTGACTGTGGCAAATTCTGAATCTCACTCCTGTGTGGCTTTGGGCAAAGCCACAGGACACCCTGGCTGCATCTGCCGCACCCCTCACAGGAGCACGGCAAGACTGACAGCCATAGGAGGGTCTGTGAGACCAAGATGCCTCTGACCCCCTCTGTATGGCGCCTCCCCTTCCCGGCTCTGAACTCGAACACAGTTCACTGCAGTGAGAGGGCGTCTGTCCTCCGCTCAGTCCTGAGCAATGGGCACAAGGCCTCCTCAGAGCTCCCGAGCCCTCGAGGGCCTCACTCAGCGCTCCTGCCCCATCTCCCCAGATCCTCCAACAACAGCACAGCGAGCGCCTGCCGTCTGCACTCGGCGCGGGCCCCTGTCAGACACCACTTAAACACATAATTACAGACTGAGTCGGAGGTTATTTGCATTCTGCTATTGATGTTCGCATGACAGATTCAGCTGCTGCATCTATAACTCTGCTGAAATGCTCCATTATTCAATCCCAGCGAGCAGGGACGGTGACCATTAAATCAGCGAGCACAATTGAAGGAGCGTGAAAAGTCATGGCTAATTTGAAATTTTATTAGCTCTTGCGGGCTCTTATTTACGTCCAGCACAGAGTCTGAGTGGAAGCCAGTGTTCTACCTCTTTCCAAATACGCTGCTCAGGGGTGCCTGAGAGGAACCGTTCCTTTCTCCAGCCTGCGAGGCAGGGGTGGTCCTGTTAATAGTACAGATGATTCACAGGGACCATTCTGACTGGGTTTTCTATCAGATGACAGTGGTAACCCCACCAAATGTCGGGCATCTTGCTCAGCACTTTCCAAGGGATGTTTCCAAGGGCTGAGTCAGGAGTCACGCCTCCCCAGTGCCATGAAGCAACCACCTGCCAGTGCCACCACCTCATTTTGGGGAGTGGGTTTGGGCCACCTGTGGCTTGCTTACTCCTTACTCAGGGATTACTCTGGCGGTATGCTCGGGGGGCACTCCTGGAGCATCACCTCATTTTTTTCCCACTTTGTTTTTTAAGGTAAAGGTAAAGGCCTTCCCGTTGATCATCGATTTGCTCAAAGCGGGCCCAGTAACGTCTCCATCGTGAGACATGTTGTTACTGTGTTTGGCATATCGAATACGTCACGGGGAGCTTGCCAGGCTCTGCCGTGCAGGCGAGATACTCTCAGTAGCTTGCTGGGCTCTCCGAGAGGGGCGAAGGAATTGAACTCGGGTCGGCCATGTTGGCCTGTGTGCAAGGCAAACGCCCTACTGCTGTGCTATCACTCCAGCCCATTACAAAGCCGTTCATAATTGGATTTCGGTTATACAGTATTCCAACACCCATCCCTCCACCAGTGTACATTTCCCAGCACCAGTGTCCCCAGGTTCCCTCCCATCACCCCCCTACCCCCTGCCTGCCTCTTTGGCAGGTGCTTTTCTCCTCTCTCTCTCTCTCTCTCTCTCTCTCTCTCTCTCTCTCTCTCTCTCTCTCTCTTCTTTTGGGCATTGTGGTTTGCAATATTGACACTGAAAGGTTATCAAGAATATCCCTTACCTACTTTTAACCCTCAGATCTTGTCCAGCATGATTATTCCCAGATATTTTTGTCATAGTGTTCTCTTCTCTATCTTACCTACCCTCAGCCCTGCACACATTTGTGGTAAGTACCAACCATTGACCAGTCCTCCTAACCCCTACTTACCCTGGCCATGGATATTATTCTTCTATTATACCACTTCTGGCAATATACCGTGGGGGCCCAAAAACACAGCAGAAACACCATCTGCACTCCTATGTCATTGTAGCACCATTCACCATAGCTAGAATCTGGAAACAACCTGAGTGCCCATGAACAGATGACTGGATAAAGAAACTATGGCACATCTACACAATGGAATACTATGCAGCCGTCAGGAAAATGAAAGTCATGAAATTTGCCTATAAATGGATGGACACGGAGAGTATCATGCTGAGTGAAATGAGTCAGAAGGAAAGGGACAGATACAGAATGACTGCATTCATTTGTGGTGTATAAAATATCACCTCATTTTAGACAGGAGACAGAAGCTCCTTGTGGGAAAGCATCTTAGTCCCACAGTCCGTGAGTGAGTGAGGACAACTCTGGATTTGAACTTGGTTCTCTTTGAAGAACAAGAAAAGATTGGAGTCCTGAAGAGACTTTTTTTTGGAGGTGTGGGAGGAATAAAATAGGTGTGTGTGTGTGTGTGTGTGTGTGTGTGTGTGTGTGTGTGTTGTTTTGGGGCTACACCCAGCTGTGCTCAGGGTACTCCTGGCTCTATGCTCAGGGGTCACTCCTACAAGGGCTCAAGGGGCTATACGTGGTACTGAGGACAGAGCACAGGAGGTGCCTTAACCCCTGTCCTAGCTCTCTGGCTCTAGAGGTAAAACAGTTTTATTCAGTATGAGAGAGAGAGAGAGAGAGAGAGAGAGAGAGAGAGAGAGAGAGAGAGAGAGAGAGACGAGAGAGAAGAAGGAATCTCAGGGAATAAAAGAAATTATATACTCTATACTAGGAAGGGGTGATTCCAGAGTGGAGAAGCCAAAGAGACTTAGAGGAACTGAACTGTTTCTTTTTTTAGTGGAAAACGGGACTTTATGTCACTGTCACTGTCCTCCTGTTGTTCATCGATTTGCTTGAGTGGGCCTAGTAATGTCACCATTGTGAGACTTATTGTTACTGTGTTTGGCATATCGAATACGTCACGGGTAGCTTGCTTTGCCAGGCCTTGCCGTGCGGGCGAGACACTCTCAATAGCTTGTCGGGCTCTCCGAGAGGGGTGGAGGAATGAAATTTGCTTTTCCAACTGCCCCCATCTGACACTGTGACTGGAGGCCTC